TACAAAAAGTGTTCACTGTCTAAGGTCGCTCTAGTTACCTACTATCTTAAAAGAAGTAGATATAGGATAACAATAGTTAATATTATATGTATATTGGCCTGTTTTATTATTGGCTAGCTCAAATATGTAGTATAAAGTAATTATACTTTTTTTTTTTTTGTATATAAGCTAGTTACTAATCGACCTTTTACTACTAAGCTGTTTTATCTAGAGTTACAAATTGATTAGAATGTAGTATGAAAAGGTCTAAATATGTTATATTGTATTATAATTAGGTGGGTATAGCAAGGTATTGACTATCTTCACTTGTTTATTCATTTTCCAATAATCTTTATTATATAACTTGACCATTGGTCAAAATAAACTTCACAAGCTATGATAAACAATATCATGTATAATTTGTAAAGTATAGATTATTTTTAGATTGTTTGATTAAGAATTCTATTAGATATATGATTTTGTTCTATAGATCTTCTTACTCTTCTCTAATAGAACCTCCAATAAACTTTATTAAATAACCAATTTCCTAGTATAAGTATGGTATTAGTATTAGAATCTGATTTTTGTGCTAAATAGTTTGCTATTGCTCTAATATCCTTTGCTTTTGCATTTGGATCTGCTACTATAAGAATGTTTTTGATCTATTCCAATATAGTATCTACAGCTGTTAATGAATATGAATTAGTGGTTGACAAAAATAAAGCATCAGAATTTAAGTTATTTGTTCTTTATTGTTTCATATGATTAAGCATGTCTAATATGGCAGAGACAAAACACAATTATAGTTCTTTCTTGTAGAATTCTATAGTAATAGATTTTTGCATCAACTTTTTTTCTACATGCACAATTAAAATTTTATGTTCTTTAGAGTTAACTATATTAAATAAAAGTCTATTCTGCAAAATATTTATTGATTTTAATGATATGCAGTGTAAGTTACTTGGTCTTGATGTAGTGGTAATTGCCATTAAGAATGCAGTTTTCTTAATCAAGTTTATAATCAATATATCTTTGTTAGATTCTATTGCAGTAATATGTTTAAGTAAGAAGATTATATCAATAGTATTCTCTAGAGATAGTGAAGATAGGTTTTTTTTATAAATAGCTAACATTAGCTTTATTATTGATGGATGTCTTCTGATTTTTATGCTTTTAATAAGTTCATGAGCTTTACTAATTGCTGTATAGTTAGTTGTTATAGTATTATATATCAATTTCTTATTATTTATGTTAGTTAAAAAATCTAAGATTAGATTTATAGAACATTGAACAGAATCAACAGATGATTTTTGACACCAAACTAACTATTTTCGAATAGCTAATCTAATGGTATTGTTCAATAACCTTTTGGTAGTCTTTTCAACTAATTTGAGAGCTTTTTTTAAAAAACTCTTCTTTTGAAGATTTTTTCTAAAATATGATAAATGAAGATTCTTCATTTCAGATTTTAAATAGAGTGTTAAAGACTTATTAAACCTAGTGTAAATGGTCTTTTTTCTTTTATTAATAAGAAAAGGTTGATAAGAAGATTCAGCAAGATTGGAAACCATAATGCTGTTTTCCAATATAATACTACAAGTACAATTGTTGCTTTGTTCTTTATTACTTTAAATAGAATTTTGTGAATTAGTATAAAGAAAGAGTTGACCCAATCCTTTAACATTGACCAATTTTGTATTAAAACATCTATCATTTAATAACCTGAGTTTGTATATCTTAAGTAATAGTTTAGTAACAATGCATTGATCCTGTTTACAAACAGGTTCACATAAAATGGCCATCATATTTTCTGAATTTTTTGAAAGATTCTCATTTTCAGCATCTAATCATGTTAATCAAGTCTTCTTCTTGAAGTTAGATCTGCTAATTCATTCATTCTTTCCAGAATGTGTTGAGCTATAATCTTGATGTTTCTGGTTAAATATAGTTGCCAAATCTTTTTTACTAGAAAACTGAGAATTGAGAAGGCTGTCCCACTTTGATGGTTGAGATAGGAGATGCATTTCATATTGTCAATTCTTATCAATACTGCATAACTTCTTAAGTCTTTGACTATCAAAAAAGCATAATGAATTTCTGTAAGTTCGAGTATGTTTATGTGAAGATGTCTTTGATAATCATCCAAATGTTTAGAGAGAAGCAATGTTCTGAAACTATACTCTATCTTTTTATAGATGTGTCTGTATATACTATCATTGTAGATATATTTGGAATTATGTTTGTATTATTTCACTTTTTTAAATTCTGTATTTACCAAATTAGTTGTTAACAAGCTTCTGCTGAAAGTTTTAGATAAGTGTTTTATTTTTCACATTTCAGTGCTAAGTTTTTGTCTCTTAAAACTGCTCTAATCATTAGTCATGCTAGAAAGATAGCACTAGTAGTTTCTAAAAGCTTTCTTATAATCATGATTACCTTTTTTTATATATATTGATAATTTGTTGAGTACTAGTTTGCATTCTCTTATAATTTTAGATATCTTGACTTTTGGTAATACTATAGTTATTAATTTTGAGTTTATTGTAAAGCCAAAGTATTGAATCTCTTGAGTTGAGGTCAGTATTGACTTGTTGTTGTTTATAAGAAAACTAAATTCAGTTAGCATTTGCATTACTTGTTTCATATAACATTTTACTTTTTTTTTAGTTGTTGCACAAATTATGATATCATCAATATATTGTATTAATCTTATATCCATTGCTCTTGCTAATGCAATTACTGGCTTGAGTACCTTGATAAATACTCTCAGACTGCTGGTTAATCTAAAGGTAAATATGTGAATCAGTATCTATGTTGTACAAAGTTGAATGCAAAATATAATTGTGCTTGCCAAGATAATGGAACATATAAAAAGACATCTGAGATATTGATAGATTTAAAATAATTAGCTCTTTTTATAATTGATTTCACATATTCAATAGTATTTATTTTGAAATAAATAAAATGTACAAATTTGTTCAAGTTTCTTAAGTTAATAACCATTCTGTTTGAATCTAATTTTTTGAGAATTACAAAGATTCATAATACAAAACATGGTGCATTTGTTGGTAATTCTACAATTGCACTCTTCTTTATGAGTTCAGTTAATTTTATCATAATTGCAAGTCATTTCTTTTCTGTTATTGCAAAGTTTTTGGATATTAGTTGTATTTTTAAAGAAGCTAGAGAGACCATTCTGAAATATAACTACATCTTATAATTGAAGTTACCTATAATAAACTCAATGCATATTTTCATTTGTATAAAAAATATACTAGTCTAAAAGCTATTCTTGGAATTAAATTATATATTATTAATCTTTTTGTATAAGGTAGCCTAGTTAAGATACCTAACTGCCTCTTTACCTGTTTCTCTATTTGTTATAATTATAGTTGTTGGAATTACTATAGTGAAAAAAAATTGGTCTTTGAAAATTACTAGTGTTGTCTCTATTAAATGAAGTACAGTTCTTAAACCTAAGAACATGATTGATAAAGTTATTAGTAGTATTCTTATTTTCAATAAAAGACCTGAGGTCATGACTAAAAATTTTCTTATTCTTATTAGCTGGATTGTAGTCAGAAAATATAATTTTGATGACATTATCTTGATTTATTTTATTGATATAAGATAAAAAATCCAATAGTAGAAACCTGGTATTTCTAAAAAATGTTTCAATTGTTGACTATGCTTGATATGCTTCATATTCTGCTTCAGAAGGTTTTGATGCATATATTGATTTAAGAATGTTTTTTATTGGTTATAAGATTACAGAGGTTCTATAGAATGTTCTAGACAAGATTTTATCTGTTTCTCTTGCATGATTGAATAAAAGTTTCCATATGTACTTATTTATGACAGATGGGTTATACCTAATGCTTGCATTATATAGTTTGTTTTTAAGTATAGCAGACCTTTCTTTCTTGAAAAAGATATTATTTTTGTGAATTTTTGTAGACAGATTTGTCATTTCTTCCAAGGGAATCCATACTATACATGTGTCAGTATCATTATCACATAGGTCAGAGTTAGTATTAAAGACACTGGAGTTTGAGTTATTGTCATTATTGACATCTTCATTATAAAGCACATTGTAAATTTTGTGGTTTTAGATGTTTGTATTGTTATTGTCTTGGGTAATGTTATCATTAACATTAATAGTAAGAGTTTTCAAAATATTAACTTGTTCATTTGACATAGTAATAGTGAGGCAGTTACAAGTAACATAAACAGCAGCCAAAATAAAATGACCTAATAGTAAAAGATCAATTGGTAACTAGCTTATATACAAAAAAAAAAAAAGTATAATTACTTCATACTACATATTTGGGCCAGCCAATAATAAAACAGGCCAACACACACGTAATATTGTCTATCATAGCTTGTGAAGTTCATTTACTATGTAATTTTTTCGATCACGTGATGATAGAAAAATTGGCCAATGCCGAATCTTGATTTAGTGTAACGTCACGCGATCAGAAAAATTCAAAACAACCATTCATTTTGAAAAAATCGTCTTTATCTCAATATTTTGTCTAAGTAACAGCCCTTTATGCACTAACAAAAAAAATTCCTTGGGTAATTTTACTATAGCTCCTTAATGTTTAACATTAGTTTAAACACTAACTCTAACATAAACGAACCTTAAAGAATTTTGTCGATGATCACATGATCGAAAAAAATTGGTGGCGATGCTGGGGAAGATTTTTGCCGCAAAAATCTCACGTGACTGCAACATTTTGGTAGCGATACAGGGTAGTTCACTTATAAATAACTGGCCCATAGATTATGCGATGCGATGGAGTAATTTATGCGATTTGACTGGGGTCAATTATGCGATGAATACGAAATAAATTTAAGATTACATGAAATATTTACAGCTGTCAAACAAATAAAAGTTAAATTAGAGAAACTGATAAATAATAAATAATTTGATAAAATAATTAAAATTTTTACCGAAAGCAATTATCCACTAGTGTTGCAGTGTCAGAGGTAAAACCGACACCTCGTAGAACCTGCGAAATGGATGTCATTGTGGCATACTTACCTAATTAAAGTTGCCCATGACAATCCATCTGAAACATGTGCGCCCGGCCCCAAAGAAGCCATATGAAAATACACAAGCCTCCATGCGGGACCCAACCACCTCCTCCAATTAAAGTAAGGTCGACCTGGACCAACCTGTTGCGCTGGGAATGGAC